CATTACTCGACACAAGCTTCGAAGCCTCGATACAGAACGTCACATCACTAGTTAAGAATAGACCGGAGATAGAAATAAGCATTAAACCAACTAACAAGCATTAACTGGTAGAAAAATGCAAGGCTAAATAGGTGGGCTTTTAACCGCGATTTGAAGGATTGAATGGAATCAGACTCAGTTATTCCATAGATTGGGTGCAGCCAAGGCAAACGCTCAGTCACCTCTAGTCTTCAGCCGGGATCTCGGCAGTACCAAGAGTGACTGGGAAGATGATCTTAGTACTCTAGCAGGGGTGTATAATCTAAGTAGCTCAATGAGGTAGCTTGGAGCTACAGTATATTGTTAATTCAGCTGGGCGATATAAGATTTTTTCATATCACGATATGCTTTTTTCATTTCAGGCCATAATGATATATATCACGATATAAGCCAAATGACTACATTTGTAGTTGTATCCATAATTTCTTGGAGCTAATGAATTTTACAGTGTTGAATGAAGTTTATGTGTTATGCTATTAATTACATAGCATATTGATTTTTTGTTAGTGGGTTAATCACTCTTTCTCACGCTCATATTAGTTGTTGGTGGCTACTGGTTAATGAGTCACTAAAAAAGGCTTTTTGTCTGTCCTGAAGTTAATCAACCCTACATGCTCACCACGCCCACTTTAGTTCACAGCTAAAACAAGGCAAGCCTGTCGCGTTTAAACAGCTGTGTGTTAGGTCCATGTGGCATTTAAACCAATTTGCAGCCCCAGGACAAAGACGAAAGTCACGCAGAACACTGAACCGTTTATTAAGAGAGTGAAGATGGACAAGTGGACAGCGGCTCTGCTCACTGGTGTTGCCTGCATTGTGGGATACCTGGTTGTGCGGGTGAAAAAGATCAACAGCCTCCGACAGGCGGAGGAAAAGATACAGAGAGCCAGAAACAGGAGAGACGAGAGCTTGCAGCGGGCAGAGCAGGCGGTGCTCCGGTACAAACAGTCGGTGAGAGTTCAGAGCTTTGGGGATTTTTCTAGTTTCTCTTTATCGATAATCTCAGCGAATGATCTGCTTTCAGTTTAACCTGGCAGAGGTGTAGTTATTAAATCCCAAAATACTGGCACTTTGCAATGTCTCCATGCTTGAGCATGAAAATGAAAGTTATGACTGTGAAAACCGTTTAAGTGCAGTGAACTCATTGCTGTGTTTGAGAAAGTTTGTAAAAAAAAAGTGGAAGGAAGAATCCTGAATCTGTACATGGATGTGGTTCCGTCTCTTTGTTGCAGCCTTTAAAAGAAATAATAACATAATGATTCTGTGTGGGTCTGTGTCTCCTAGCATCCGACAACTGACTCTGCTTTGATCCTGACACTCTCCCTGTCTGAGCTGACAAAGCAACTGAAGGAAGGTTTACTGCGCCCCGAGGATGTGCTTTACTCTTACATGGAAAAGGTTCAATATCCAGCATGACACAAATCTTTCATAATAGATCAAATACAGCAAAAGTCATTTTTTAAACAAGTAATCATTTAAATTACTCAGACTTATCTTAATGTTGTTTATTTTTGACATTACTCCTACTTATAACTCACTGCTTTTTAGTTCTTTTTACACAGAATTGTCTTATTACAGTTAAAGTTTAGACACACTGGATAATAATATTCATATAAGCAACACAGACTGATGTGTCAAGTAATGTTTGTGTTTCCAACAAGAGTTTAATATTTTACAAAGATTAAAATCCCTTTAGGTGAATAAGTTAATCTCAAACTGTCTGTGCTTGTTTCCTTTCAACAGACTCTGGCTGTAAACAAAAAGCTGAACTGCTGCACTGAAATTTTGCTGGAGAGTTTGGACCAGCTGACAACTGTTGGCTCCAACAAGGATGGTCTCTTGTACGGAGTTCCAGTTAGCGTCAAAGAAAATATTACATTTAAGGTATTACAAAGGTTATACAGCTACCCTGGGGGATCGAACCGGCGACCTCCCGGTTACAGATGCGCTTCCCAACGCCCAGAGGGGGGGTTGGGAGTATTGAAGTATTTCCCATCAGTATTTCTAAGTATGGTACAGTACTCTCGAGCATCATAGCTCAGGTATTTGATGTAACATTATCATCTTTGTTTTTTCCAACACTAGAATCATGACTGTTCTTGTGGTGTGGTCATTAACCTGGACCAGCCCGCTGAAAAGGACAGTGTGCTTGTTCAAGTCCTGAAGAAACAAGGAGCTATTCCCTTTGTGAGAACCAACTTGCCTCAAGCTCTTTTAAAGTACATCTTTTATCAGTTACTCACATAAAAATCTACAGCACATTTAAAACTGAGTGCATGTGTTAAGTTGCCTTTGTCCATTCCAAATGTGCAAATCATGAAAATATGAATGAAAATAATATGCAGAGACTCATTAACTGTCTGTTGACAGCTATGACTGCAGTAATCCTATCTACGGGCAGACTGTGAACCCTCATAACCCCCAGAAGACCTCTGGAGGTTCATCTGGTGGGGAGGGGGCTCTCATCGGGGGAGGGGGCTCCCTGCTTGGTATAGGCACTGATATAGGTGGCAGTATCCGTATTCCTGCATCCTTCTGTGGAATCTGTGGTTTCAAGCCAACTGCAGGTCGGCTCAGGTGGGTCTCATTCAGTCAGTTTCCTGGAAATGTATTATACATTGAGTTACACTGAGTTAAACTTTGTCTTTGTTAACACTTTTGTGTAATGATTAGTTTACAGGGCCTTCGTCCAATTTATCGAGGGCAAAAGTCAGGTAAGAAAAGTCAGGTAAGAAACATATGTACTTTACATATAAAGTAAATGTAGTTACATAACCACTGTATAGCAGTATTTCAGACACAAACTGTCTCAAATATTTGAGTCACTGCTTTATATTTCGTATGAAACTAGTGCCGTCATCTCCTGGACCCATGGCAAGAGATGTGGACAGCCTGGCTCTGTGCATGCAGGCACTTCTTTGTGACCACATGTTTTCTTTGGACCCCACTGTTCCACCATTACCTTTTAACATGGAGGTGTGTCCTGTACTGTGAGGTTCATATAATCTGTTAATGATTATTCTTTTGTTTAAAAACTACAAATTAAACAATACATAGTTGTCCTAATCCTTCACTTTATATTACGCTTTACAGGCTGTAATCTTAAACTTCGCAAACACATCTGATTATGTGTAATTGACTCAGGAAATGAAAATTCTTCACCCTTAGATATACAGAAGCTCCAAACCTCTAAGGATTGGTTATTTGGAAAGCAATGGCTACAC